ATCTATGTATTATTTGCAATGTAAAATTTGGCCTGTTATCATATATAACCTGAAGAAATATCTACCATCAATGTTACACATTAATTTATATGAAAATGTTTCTGTGGAAATAATTAATTGTAATTAGATATAAAGCTTTTTTCATCAAAGTTAGTGCCATTATAATGAAGGTGGAATTTTTTAAATAAGAAAACAAATATACATCTAAGGGTGTGAGATTGTATAACATGGTTCAGTTCAGAGAGGCACACCAAATATTGCAATTTTTTGTATGCTAATGAGTTTATCATATTGCCTCATTTTTGCCATAGTGTAGTTAGAATCATCAAGTTTAATTTAACAATCACTTATACTTCTCTTTGCTAGTAATTTTAGGTACATTTTTAAAAGTCAAAATCAAATCTGTCTATAGTCCTGGCTCACAGAAGCCTCAAAAACATTTTAGCAAAGAGAGGGAATAAAATAAACATCATATGCTACCTGATTTCCAGTGTTGTTATTAATAGAGTACAAAGAGTTGATATATTTTTAATTGGAATATGTTATTAAAATTATCATGGACAATACAGTTGACCCATTCACTGAGATTTTTACCTTTCAAATACACCTATCTGACTAAATTGTAGCATTTTTTTCTGACTGAATTATATATCTATAATTCAGAGTATTGATAATATCAAAGCTACAAATCAACTAAAGAGGAAAAAGCCAAATATTCACAGCTCTACTGAATGCTATTTGCTGAGGAGCTCGGAATTTATACAATTAAGCCGCCAACTGAAAGATTTTAAACAGAAGAGTGACAAGATCTGAACTGTGTTTTATAAAGGACTCCTGATGATAGTAAGAAGAAATAGCTGGATGAAAGCCAGCTAGAAAACTGTCGAAAAACCTCAGCTCAAAAACAAATGAGTATCTACTGCATTAAGCCAAATGAATGAAAAGAAATAGGTTTGAGAGATAGGAAGAAAATAGAATAGTCAGTTTTCATTACCTATTGTTATTGGGTGCTGATAAAAAGCAGGGGGAAAGAAGTTCTGGTTGATTCCTAGCTCCTAGCTGGAATTGTATAATAGCTGGGAGTGCCATTTCTCTGAGATAGGATGAATTGAGTGAAGAGTTGTGGGGGAATATCAAAGAAATGTCAAGCTTGTAGATAGAATAATGAATTTAGTTTGAGATTTGTTGAGTTTGTGGCCACTGAAGGACATCCAAGTAGAAATATCCGATAATCACGGTGACATTTTCCCCACCTTTTACATTTCCTATTGGCATCTTCCCATAATTATTACTTACTCCTGAGAGAAAGACGGGTGGTATTAGAGTCAGAGCAACTGTGCCCAATATAACTTTCTGCAACAATGAAAATGTTCAATATTTTCACTGCCCTGTAAAGTAGCCCTCAGACACATTGGCTATTGAGCACTTGGAATGTAACTGGCATTGCTAGGGAAGGACCTGAAACTTTAATTTTATTTAATTTTAATTTGTTTAAGTTTAAGTTTAAACAGCCACGTGACTAGTGGCTACCATTTTGGATAGTGCAGTTCCAGAGAAGTTCATTTAAATTGATTTTACTCTGCTCAGTCTTTGATTGAGGAAAGAATGTCAATTTATTCTTAGAAACATTTCAAAAAGCTCAAATTTAAAAAGAAGCAATGGATTCATCAATGTGTTTAACTTATATTTCCTCAGGATATAAAATGGTAATCGTAGTGTAATGACGTCAACTTGTTTGCTCGGTTCCCAGTCACATTCAATGTATTGCTTGTGTTGCTGCTATGGAAGAAAGTGATAATGAAATGACTAATTCCTGTGTTTTTATTCCAGCCAATGTTTGCAAATATGAAGATAAATATAGTAACTGTAAACAGTTGAAGGAACAGTTGGGCTGCACACATCAACTTGTCAAGGATAGTTGCAAGGCTGCCTGCAATTGTCAAAACAAAATTTATTAAATGTTCAATACACAGTCAACAGGGCCATGTGGAGAAAAGCTACATCGTCTACTTAGATTTGACATCTACTTAGATTTAACATATTCTAGCAGAGAAATTGTAGGTACATTAGCTACAAAT